AAACAATCAACGATCCAAGTTCTCTCCTCTTCGACTGGCCACTGTCAACGTAGGATCTCTTACTGGGCGACATCGAGAACTGGCGGATCTTCTTGGAAGACGTAGAGTAGACATCGCCTGCATCCAGGAGACCAGATGGAAGGGTGAGAAGTCACGCGGTATAGGAGACGGCTTCAAGCTTCTATATAAAGGAACAAGCAGCAAAAGAAACGGCGTCGGAATAGTCATCTCCGAACGGTTAAGAGATAGTATAAGAAGTGTAGATCGATTCAGTGACCGGCTCATGGGCATCACATTAGATGTGGGTGAGCGAGTTCTCCGAGTAGTCACCGCATACGCACCCCAAGCAGGTTGCACGGTAGAAGAGAAAGACGGCTTCTGGCAAGAACTAGATGACTACATCAGACGTGTACCTTCAGAAGAAACGCTACTGACTGGAGCAGATCTTAACGGCCATGTCGGTGAACAGCGAAGTGGTGCGAGTAGAAGTCACGGAAATCACGGGTATGGGATCCGCAACGAAGAAGGCAATCGAATTCTGGAGTTCGCTTCCGCTCATGAATTGGCGTTGGCAAACACCTACTTCATCAAGAAGAGCGATCACCTAGTAACGTATGCCAACGGAAATCGAAAATCGCAAATATACTTCTGGGCGGTACGACTAAAGGAGCTCAAGTGCGTGAAGAACTGCAAAGTGATCCCTAGCGAAGAATGTGTACCACAACATCGACCACTGATTCTAGATCTGAATATCCCAGTCAAGAATCGAAGAAAGGCAATGACGGAGGACAGAATACGCATCAAGTGGTGGAAGCTCAAAGACGACGCTCGATCCAAAGCTGCTATGGAATCAGCTCTACCACTCCTAGAAGACGAACCGGAGCGTTCCTGGACGAATCTGAGGAAGAACGTTCATCAGATGGCAATAAACCTGCTGGGATTTACAAAACCAGGAAAGGCAAGACTTGAGAAAGAAACTTGGTGGTGGAATGAGGATGTTCAAGCTGTGATCAAGAGTAAGAAGCTCGCATACCAACTGTGGCAGAAGACAAGATTAGAAGACGATCGTCAGAAATATGTAGACGCAAAACGTGCAGCAAAGAAGAGCGTAAGAGAAGAGAAGGAAGCGTACATAGCAGACTTCTACAAGAAGCTGTACACTCGAGAAGGCGAACGTGATATCTACCGAATCACAAGGAGAAGAGCAAAAGCCACAGAAGATACAAGCCACTTCTACAACATCAAAGACGAGTACGGGAGAATTCTAAGAAGTCCAGAGAAGATAAGCGAACGATGGAGAGCACACTTTGAGAGAATAGCATCTACAAGCTACCAAATGTCATCTACCATAGTAGCTGAGACGATACAAGGACCGGTAGAAAACATCACAGAAGATGAAGTTCGCGCAGCCATAGCGAAGACGAAGAACGGCAAAGCAACCGGCCCAGACGACATTCCCAGTGAATTCTGGAAGAGGTGCGAACAAGCTGGAATCACTTGGCTAACACAGCTTCTCAATCGGATAATCGAATCCAAGAAGATGCCGCGCGATTGGTCCAAAAGCACAACGATTCCAGTATGGAAGAAGAAAGGAGACATAGCCGATTGTTCCACATATCGTCCCATACGTCTAACGAGTCACACGCTGAAGATCTTCGAACGAATACTAGAAACGAGACTCCGAAGCATCATAGAACTAGCTCCCAATCAGTGTGGATTCGTGAAGGGCTGTAGCACAACAGATGCCAACCATACCGCCAGAATAATGATAGAAAGAAGCACGGAGAAGCAATGTGAACTACATGCGGCGTTCCTCGACCTGGAGAAGGCGTTCGACAAGGTACCACACGACATCATATGGTGGGCACTACGAAAGCACAAGGTGCCAGAAGAGTACGTGCAATGGACGAAGATGATCTACAAGAATGCCACCAGCCACGTACAGACAGCAGCGGGACCGACGAAAGAATTCCAGATACGAGCCGGCGTACACCAAGGCTCTGTACTCTTACCGCTCCTGTTCAACACACTCATAGATGCAGTGGTCGACGGCTTCATACGACAACCACCATGGACGCTCATGTACGCAGACGATGTTCTCCTACTGGCAAGAAGCAGAAGAGAGCTCCAGATGGAAGTTCAGAAGTGGAAGGATCAGCTTGAGATGCATGGACTGAAGCTGAACATGACGAAAACGGAGTATATGGAACTGGGAACACAGACACCCGGGACAATCCAGATCGGAGACACGCAACTCAAGAAGACCACCTCCTTCAAGTACCTGGGAAGCCGTATCTCCGCAGATGGCAACCTCCGCGATGAGATAAGCAGTAGAGTGAACGCCGCATGGATGAAGTGGAGAAGCCTCACAGGAGTCCTATGTGATAAGCGGATGCCAAGAAAGCTGAAGTCCCTGATATATCGCACGACAGTTCGACCGACGGCCCTATACGGAAGCGAATGCTGGCCATTTACACGTGACGAAGAGAGAATGATCAGTGTAATGGAAACACGAATGCTGAGATGGACCACAGGAGTGACGATGCTAGACCATGTCCCGAATGACACTATACGAAGCGTAATGAAAGTGACACCCATTGTAAAGAAGATGCAAGAAAGACGTCTACAGTGGTATGGACATGTGAGCCGAAGAGAAGAAAGCCACATTACGAGATTGGCCATGTCAGTGGAAGTGCCAGGAAAGAGACCAAGAGGAAGACCTAAGATGAGATGGCTGGATAAAGTTAAAGCAGATATGAGAGAGCTTGGTATAAGAGAAGAGCAGGCCTTAAACCGAGAAGAATGGAAAAGATTGACGAGAGCGGCAGACCCCGAGTGACGGGAGAATGCAAGGATTAAAAAAAAATCAGCGGCTCGGCGATATGGCCCGCACTGGCCTATTGGGGGTTTCCTCCTTAGGCGTTCCAACACTATTTTCAATTGATGTTCACCTCTATGGCATTGCTGCCACTGTAGCAGAAGTGGTAGAAAAACGAACGCCTCGATTAGGCATCCCCTCCGCGGGCTGCTGGTCCTTTCGTCCTACTGTTGTGCACCGTGTTGGCACCAGTGGTTCGGGGAGGCGGTGCCTAATCGAGGTGTTTGTTCCTCCACCCTAGCAGAGGCTATCTGGGGTAATAGGCACAACTCGTCCGCGCTGCTTTCTCGGGATAGACCTCCAAAAAACATGTTTTACGGGTCATCAGGGTCACCTCATGCGAAACCCGTATAGGGTTAGTCATTTTCAAAAAGGTTTATGATGCGCAAAAACTCCGACACAAGACAAATGTTACGAACTCGTTGCGTGCCGATCCTCTTGCATTTCACGACCACTCATGACCAGCTATTGCAACCGAAATCTATATGCATATAAAACTGAGTGTTGGTAAATTGTTATTTAGTGTGCCCTTTATAGAAACTTTTGTGTGTAGACCAATCAGCGTGAAACCTCACAGACATATATTTTCGATGCCGGCCCACCCCGTAGGCTACTACTTTTCGCAGCAAACTTTCAGCTTTTTATACTGATTCATCGATTCTGAAAGAAATGAACTCTCATCATTACTATCAAACCACATGTAACTTTGGAGTAAACAATGGTGGTAAAATTCATATCTATTCCACGATGAGTGAGATGCGTCAAGGCGACACAATTAGAAAGTCTACCATGCGTTACACGAGAAATAGAAGAAAGCCAAAACGAGTGAGTTGAGTTCCAAAAGTTGAGCACCAATCTTGCGCTTTGTTGTGCCATAAATCCTCTATGCGAGCGAAGCCGGACATGCCAGTTAGTGCAGGGTAATCGAAGTACAATTTGCTGTAACAATTTGCCGGGAGAATCGCGAGGCGATGATGCCACAATGATAAAGACAACTGCGAGCTACATCACTATGCGAAAATCTTTTCATGGTTGCTAAAGCCATTGATCTGTACACATGTCAAGCGAATCTGAAATTTTGCAAAAACTTTGGATACGGTCTCGCTTATGCAGGTAAAATGCCGCATCTATCTATTCTGCCTAAATTTTTCAAGGTTCCGCTTATAGGCAGTGTCCCGGCAGATTCGCGCCCTGAGAGATATTGCTATGGTGGAGTTCCCGGTCATCCCGCTGACCTGCAAGCGCAGTTCGGCTGGTTGATGTTCCCCTGGGCCGAGAAAATAGCCCTTGAACCGGCGCGCAACCCCAATCGGCGCGCTCTAGGACAACTTCGTTTGCCGTTGGGCGCGGAACCCCACGACTGCTCTCCCGCATTGTGCATGCTATTCAGAGCAAAAGTTACAGGCAGCAGGGTCTTCGCGCCAAGCCTTCCCAACTTTCCATAGAAATTCTCGTCCGAGCTGCCTGGATATTGGGTAAAGCCCCGAAAAGGTCTTTCTACCCGTTTCATAGCTCAAATTCGGGGCCTACGGGTCGGAAAGGTCCAAAACATGCAAAAAGATGAGAATGCAAAATCTGCCGGGACACTATCTTTATGGGGTCGGCTTGCGCTTTGCAAAGTGTACTTACATGCTAATAGGGTGTTATCCAAAATTTTAGCTCAAGACCTGTGCTGGAACTCGCTCTATAAATTTCGAACACACACACACACACACACACACACACACACACACACACACACACACACACACACACACACACACACTTACACACACACACACACACACACACACACACACACACACACACCACACACACACACACCACACACACACACACACACACACACACACACACACACACACACACACACACACAAGAAAGCAAAAAAACGACGATAGCGGTGACACCTGCGCATGTTTCGCCCTCGTTTAGTTCATGCGCAGACAATAATTTGAAGCATTTCATTGTTCGATGGCTTCACATGCCGTGGTGTTAAACCATGTCTGGGTCTCTTCGTTCTTCTCTGTCTTTGCTCAAAATGCTGTAGCTCGCAAAACCTCTAGCGATGCAGACGCGCAGCTCCAGAAATACTTGCCTACTTTGGCGTGAAACAATGTACCTTTGATGATTCTGCCCCTCCCCTTGAACGTAGATGGTCATTAGCTTCATTTTCTCTGGAATTTGGATTACTTAAGTGATTCAACCATCATATTTGCAAGAAAAAGGAGGATTTCTCACTAATCAGCCTGCTTCAAACTTCTTACATTTCTTTCTCTGACGATGACGCAGAAGGCATGTTATTCCTTGCAGAACCACTGCCACTCTCGGAGCCAGAGAAAGCATATCTGTCCTCCATACCTAAATACGCAGCTGCCGACTTAGTCAGTTGGGGCACAGCTCAAAGTCAGTTGGGGCACAGCTCAACGATAGGTGATTGACTGATCTACAAAATTACAGCATATATAGCTTGCTGCATTGTTGATCGCTCAGTTTGTGTTAGGCCCCGGTCAGACTTCACGCGACTTAATCGTCGCGACCAAATCGCCAAGATTTCCATTCATTTTCATTTCACATTCAAAAATTTCGGTCTGGAAAAGTATCACAACCGAATGCAAGTTGATCTGCATGGAATGATGTTGTAGTTGGTCTCCTCGCGATTCAGTCGCGACGATCAAATCGCGTGAAGTCTGCCCGGGGCCTTAGGTCGTAATGATGAGTTCGCTAAGCTACGAGCTAACTACCCTGAATAACAACTAATTTCACACTTTAATCCAGTTTGATAGCTTTACCAATAAAAACTGCGAAAATTGAGGTTTGACAGTGGCTACAGATGCTTTTGATTCACGTCTCTTAAAGGAATCAAATCTTGCAAAAACCATGGGCTTATGTTGCCATACAGTTGCAAATCGACAAACTAGCTTTCAGTCTGTGATAAGATGGAGACAGGCTGTGAAAAGTAGATTTTTTAAATGGCGAACGTGGTTCATATTATCATCATCTTGCAGGCTACGGGCAAACTAGGTAAAATTGATTGATTATCAAATTTTATACCGCAAATATACCGCCGACTTCAAATGTCAATCATATGTAAAACTTGTAATGATGTGTCTGGTGTAATAAAATGGGTGCCTAAGCAGTGCACTTCAGTTCTGCTTCACAAAACTGAAACTAAGTAAGTTTGATAAAGCGCCCACCGCCTGCTCTTCGGCACATTTAGTAAATGAAGATACATGCTTGAATGCAGCGTAAATTTTGTGTTGAGAGGTAAGAAAACATATCTGGTTTGTTAATTCTTGTTCAGCGGAAAGCGCTCATGATGTGGTGCGGTATTGAGTTAGGTGATTTGACCTGGAAGTGACCGCGAAGGTGATGGAGAAGTTTATTGCATACCAGTGCTTCACCTCTGCTTCGCAGAGGCTCGCACTGGCCCTGCTATCTGTATGCCTTACTCATTTTCGCACAATAATGACATTGGAACTCACCGCGCTATGCAGGCTATCGCGAACGGTTTGTAAACAACTATTCATTCCAAAAGGTTTTCCATATGAGATCGGTAATTTAGCATGAACGAAACTTTTTTCGAAAGAACAAATGCAAAGTTGAATCGGTTTTTGGACTTTTCATGGCTTGATATTCGCGATAAGATGCCATAATCACCTTGGGCTACATATCTGTGCAAGAATCTTCTCAAATGATCTGGTAAAATCTTGGCAAATTAAACATTTACGCAACCAATTCTTTTTGGCGCCGTTTTCGCAAAGTAGTAAAATTTAGTTCAATTTTTTAGGCTAAAGACCATGGCTTGCAGATTACATGTCAAAAATATCCGTGAATTTGCAAAAAGCTGCGCAACAGACTCAATTCTACTGGCCAAAAGCCAAGTGGATCCGGTTGACGCGCATTTTTTGGGGATCCACACAATGGATCCGCTCGTGCTTTTGTATAGTAGACTCTCATGTTGGTAGCAGGCGCTGTGCAAAATTTGGGCTCAGGAGGTTGGCTGGAACTTGCGCTATGAATTTCGTGACAGACAGACATTCAGACACACACACACAAAAAAACGTAAACACCCTTAGCGCGTTATTATAGTAGGATGGGCGATAAGCAAGGTGACAATTCATAGCGAGCTTATATATCATGCTACTCTCTTCTCTTCGTACGCTATTTCCCGAATAAGACAACATAATTCGAACAACATCACATAATCGAAATACCGTAAAATGAATATTAGAGCATTGACTCAATCGTTAGACATAACAAAATGTACATTTACGAAAATGATTCGACATCTCTAGTATAGCTAGGAGGAAAAGATGATTCATATTCGGCATTTCATTGCTATGAGGAATACGAAATTATCGGGCAGATAAACTCCCCGGCGAAAAGTTATTGATACTTGGAGATGACCTTTCAAATAGAGTGGCGGCGACAAAGAATGCGGGAGGAATGATGATGCAATTGTGACGTGGGCGTAGGTGGAAGTGTTGCTGCTAGATGTTCTTGGGAGTGTGGGGTTTCCGAAGATAGGGAGTCGGCTTCGGATCCGTAGGGTTCGAAATTGATGTTTTTCCGCTTGAGTTCGCCTTCCAATAGCGGTCGTTCGTGATCCAATCGTTGAAGTGTATCGACGGCATCTTCCAATGTCTGCCGGAAATTGCCATGTGTGGCTACGTACTGTTCTAGTACTTGATTTTCTTGCGGGTTCACTAGTATCAACTTCTGCCATTCGTTCCATAAATAATAGAGGCGACTATATGTGCGAAGGAGTGAGTCATGCGCAGACGTGTGGCCTTCGTAAATAAACAAATGGCCGTAAACGGATATATCAGTTCTTCCTCCGGGGCAGCTGACGGTGCATTTCATTGAGACTGCGGAGGTGTTAAAATGAAACTTTATTTTATTCAGAAATCCATTCACCGTGCATCTTGCCAACTGATTTTCAGTGGGGCACAAGATGTTGGCTAATGTATCTCCTTCTTTGCTTTTGCATGATAGGGGCAGTTCAGCTCCGGCAATGCAGCTGTAGCATCCGATGAGATCACTGACTTCTACTTCGCATGTAGTATGTGTTTGCTGTGCAAAGATTTTCATGTTTTCCGTAACAACTTGGATCTGCAATACAGATCCAACGCTAGTTTTTGCGTATACTTCTCCATCCCGATTGAAAATTGCGTAAGATTTGGATAATTGAGGTAATGGGGAAGTTTTCATGAGTTTGCGTATGTCTCCTGAACTGCATACACAAGATGCTTTCTGTAATCCGTTGGCGCATGTGCATGCTTTGCTGGCAAAGGTGTATTTCCTGTATGTGGCTCTTAGAGGGGCACTGTAATTGGCCTACACTTTTCGGTGTCATTTGCCCTTTATGCGCGGGTTCTACGATGGAAACTTCTTCTCCTGTTGAGATGAACGTGGATGAAAGTATTGGCAATTGAGGATTGATGGTACTTGTGAGAGTGAACTTCATATGATTCCAAAGGCTAGTTTGGCCCGGATACAGTTTCAGTACCGTAGATGAAGGCTCAGAACCGTCCTCGCGAAGTGTCACTACAGCGTCTACGACTACCTCCCAACTAGGACAAGTGAATACGTGGTAAATCGTAGAGCTCGTAGGTGTAGCATAGATCCGGTAAAATAGGCAACTAGGTTGACACATGAAACAACCTTCACAAGTAAGACATCCACAGCTGGACGAGCAATATGTGTAGCCTGGATGGTCATTAGCTGTGTCCGAGATTTCCTTTACTTTGTCCTTCGGTGAAGTGTTGTCGCATGTGTTTTCCTGGCAACTGCCAGCCAGGTAGCATCTGTGGATTGACTCTGATTTCAACTGATGATCTCTAGTGAAAAACTCGATGTTTTTGTGACACTTGAAACGTATGCCGTCAATTTTGACGGAGAGTGTTGCTAGCACAACGCCTTGATGGTCCTTAAGTGCAAGGCATGTCTCTTGCGATAGAGGCTGGAACGTCATGATTGTGGCTTCATCAAAGGTGCATGTTTCGGATTGATTGAAAACGACGCAAACTTTCTCGGTAGCGATGATAGAGGTGACTTGTGAGCATCCTCGTGTGTGCTGCAACTTTACCAACGAAACGAGAAGGCTAAGCAGCAATTTTTTCTTGATTCGTTGCCGTTTGCTGACGTATTTAGGAAAGTTGTGTCGTGATGGCTGGAATTCCGATTGGCGTCTCACGGGTAAAACGTTTCTCATGCATTAATAAGTGCACTTCAAGAGGTTTCGTATGATTCCTAGGAAAAAGGCGACGATCTTTATGATAAGAAGTATCCATGGTAATATGAGAAGAATGAGTAATGCGCCTGCAAAAGCGAGAGCCATCTCAGTCAGTGTCCAACACTGTGTGTTGTAGAGTCGTTCTAGACAGAAGGAGCATAGTAGCATCTCGCATATTGGATGTGCCTTGCAGTGTACCTTTCTTGTGTAGGATTTTGAGTTGATCTAGACAGTGACTGTGACAGTGTAGTCGTACAGGACGATTGAGTTTGGGAATATTATGTCGTGGGTGGGTACTTGCTGAAAGAAAACACAGTATTGTTCTATGCAAGCCTCCACGAATTCGTATTTGGAATTGATGGCCAAAAACAGTCCTCCTTTGGAGCAATTTGTGACGAGTTGTATGTCAGTTGTGGTGTCACAGCATCAGCATTCAAGGTAACGATGGCATCATTTTGATGATTATTGCTGTTCACGGCCTTAGTGGGATATCCATAGTACGTCTTCGCTATGGAGCCCCAAGCTCTCGGTATAGTTAGGTTAGATGTAGCATCGAGAACAAGCAATGCTAACGGATTGTCGTAGGCGCAAAATAGACGTGCTCTTGGGCTGCACTTGTGTCTTTTGCAAAATTGTGATGTTCCAGTGACAATGTTTGTTGCTTGTCGCTTCCAGCCTTTCTTGTCTATACATAAAAAGTCGTATTTGTCGATATAGTCGCGTATGTCTATCACTAGGTTTTCCACTAAAAGTAGCGTGTCGTCGTAGAGCTTACCTGGTTGAATAATCCCAATCGTTTGATTGAATCGCATGAAGTGGAAGACTCAAACGAGCACACGTAATTGGGTTGGTAATGGAGGAAAAAGGATGGTACTTGTTCGAGGTACGACAACGTTGTGTAAGAGCTATCACTGAAAGAGCACGTTGATGTCCAAGAAGGGCACTTGCATTCTTTTCCACACAATGTTGAGGAGTCGGCTTGGAATCGTATGTGGATTAGCGGACACAAAACAGGAAACCAACATAGAGGATTTCCATCGTTGTTGATCCTTGCGATAGCAATACCTCTGGTTACGCAATTAGTCGCGTACAGTACAGTCTTTTCTACAGTAAAATCTTCTGGACATCGATTATGATTTGCTTCTATAAATGTGTTGTAGAATCCGAGTATAGTCTGAGGTTTCACAATTGCAAGTGAGGAAAGCAGACTAAGGCATAAAAGGATATTGTTTGCCTGTAGTCTTGTTCTTGACCTGTCATCATTGGGTGTCTCGATTGCGATTTTTCGTTGGAGGGGGAGGCGGATCGGTTTTCTTCTCGGAGGTTCGTTGTTTGCTCTGGATCTAGCTCCATTTTGTGGACGAGGTTATTCAGACGTGTTATGATTCTTTTTGAAGGCAAGCGTATTTCAACTGATCTTCGATAATCATCCTTGGATCCTATCACTTCTCCCATTTTCCACTGTCCGCGGTTACAAAGTCTCCCTTTTTTGGAGGGGCATTCTCGTGTAACCTGGGTTCTTTGTGTTTGTCCTTGTAGTGTTCTCGCAGTGTGGTCAGGTATTCGGTGGTCCATCTTTGCCAAAAGTTGGAAATGAATTTGTTTGTACGACTCCACTCCGCCAGCAATGTTGTGTGTGTTGTCGGGTACGGTATCCAATCGTCTTCTTGGTCCTTTGGATAAATGCTGCTGAGTAAGGTATACGGTCGAATGAAATCGATTGGACGTAATGGCAAGTAATTCGACTCGTCAACATAGTATGTGAGTGGTCTCGTGTTCACTATAGCCTCAGTTTCTTTGGCTAGTGTCTTGATGTCTTCAATGTCGAGCAAATGGCTTCCGATGGCGAATTTGTATGACTTCTTGAAGATATCTATCATTTTCTCGTACATACCTCCTTGCCATGGACTTAGGCTTGGAATGAATTTCATTTCAATTCGTCGTTCTGAGCAGTAATCGATTTCTGGATCAGTATGAGGTTCAGGGAGAGAAGTGAAGCAACGATTGATTGTTTTGAACGATTGAGCGTTATCGCAGATAATCCAAGATAGACATCCCATGGTGGCAAAGAAGCGTCGCAGAGTGTGTAGGACGGTGTGCGCAGACATGTCGAGAAGAGTGTCTACGTATATGGCTCGACAATTCAAACA